AATAAACTCATAAAGTACCAGCCAATATTTACCCCTGTATCGGTACAAGGGGAGAGGGGTGGTGGTGGTGGACCTCCTCAAGTTTTCGTTGTAATACGACATTTGATAATGATTTGAGTTTAATAGTTAGCTCTAAGCTCACTCTTTAAGAGGATGTTTATTGCTGATCATGACGAAGTGTAGCGCACATTGCGTCACCAGGCGTCTTAAAGTCCGCCATCTTGAATTTCACCAATTTTGCTAGAAAGTCAGAAATTCGGAGTAAAAAGTCAGAAACTAAGGTAAATTGATGGAACGTAAGCTAACATTATTCCAAAATTATAATGAAATGTAAACAAAAAAACAAAATTAGTATTTCTGTGACGCTGCGCAAGAAAGCTGAAAAGAAAACTCCGAAAAACTCTATCAAAGGGACATGGCCGAGCCCACAGATCAGAAGAGTGGTTGCTATGCCAATATCAATTGACTCGGAGAAACAGTTGTAACACGATGGAATTCAAGGGATAATTAACAGCCACTGAAAGTTTCAGCATCAAAGAACAGAACCACTTTTTCAGAACTGTGAAAAATACGGGGAGAAAGGGTCTTCCTACAACTCGTTGTGCTACTGAGGGTTAACATAAACAGCATTTAAGGACGGTGCCTACTAAATACAAAGGTTTTTGCGCCAGGCTAGGACCACGCGAAAAAAGTAGATCATTGCAAGGGCTGTTGGAATCCACAAAGAAAAATTAGGGTAGCAACGCATTTTTTCGAGATAATTAGCCTTGAAGCTCAACAAAAATGCTGACATCAGCATTTTTCTGAAAAAGATGGAAAGGATATTTGCTTTACAAATTTCCTTAGATTTCGCCTTTACATACAGAAAAGCAAACACATTTAAAAACTATTTGTGGTATGTTTTTAATAACAAAATCGTTGCAACAGCGCTTTTAGCGCCTCTGACAGCCTTCTTCTGGTTCAGCCAAAATACAGTCTAAATACCTTTTGCTCACAACCAGAATCTAATCACGTGTTGAATAGGCTTGCCACTTCCATTTCATAACATAAAGTGTAGGGGTAACCACAGGTTTTTTAAAGTTATTCATCTTTTTTGAAAATTTTTACGGTGCCCGTCACATTTTTTCCTATCACCTCCCCAGTAAGGAAGACATTTGCGTATCTCGCACTTGTTTTGCGCGCGCACTACGCCATCTGCAGGTACCTGTTTACAGTTGGATTTCAGTGTAATTTTCAACAGATAACAGCTAGGTTTTCAGCTGGAAGACATAAACAGTCAGTGGTTAGCGATTTGCTGCTATTCTGGTGTTCCTGGCTTAAGTACAGGTTCATTAAACTTGATTTGGTCACAGTAGCAGAATTTTCCTTTCATTTTAGTCGTGTACGTGATAGCGCAGCTGATTGTGTCAATGTCAACCCCAGCGCGTGCGTGGCGCTTAAACCATGGCTTGCGTGATGCGCAGAACGTCTGCGCGCTAACAAAAGTAGGCACGGTCCTTAAATTGTTTTCAACCCTAATTAGGCTTTATTGATCTTACTTTTGATTGCATATTTTGTTTCTCCCAGCACCAAAGATAACTACTTCAGATGGTACGTTTGACATCAATATTACCGGTATTTATTTTAGCTTTTCCCTCTACCATTTCAGTCTAGTCTCAGCTCAGATGATAAGCCCAAGTATTACTAGCAATTGTTTAATTTTTTGTATTTCATATAAAATTCCGTTATCGTTGTCTTTATCTTCTCTTTCATGTATTTCATTTTCAGCGCCAGAGATGACTACTACAGATGGTAAGTCTATAGTGATAGTTGTTGTTGAAGTTCGTCATGGTAGGTTTTATATTCTTATACGTTAACTTTTCTGCTGTTTCATTTGCAGCACCAGAAATACTTACTACAAATGCCGGTAAGTTTGACAAAATTATCACTCGCAGTTTCTGTTTTTCAATCAAATTTATCTAGTTTGATTGTTAAATGTAATTTATCTTAAAGTCCTTTACATTTACAACTGAAAAAAATGAAACAAATTAGTGGAAATAGTTTCATTACTAATATTTTTGCCATGTTTCTTTTCACTTTCATGCCAGCACCAGAAATTTCTACTACCGAGAGTAAGTAACAAAAATGTCCTTAGTCATTTATTTCACTATTTTGTATTTGTCGTAATTTTATTATTGTTTTCACATTTCACTTGTTTTTATTTACGGTGTTAGAAATTACTATTGCTGGTACGTTTGGCTCTCAGTTATAACTTTTAAAAGGTTTTAGTTTGGCAATTCATTTTAATATTACTACAATGAACTTTATCTATTTAACTTTCATAACTTTTCATTTGCAGGTCCAGAGATACCTAGTACAGATGGTAAGTCGGGTTCAGAAAGCCTCCCGAGATTGTTCTAGTTTTCGTATATCAATCCAGTTTTGCCTTGGTACTATTTACTTGATACATTTCGTGCATTCGCGTATAACTTCCACAAAAGTTTTAGTTTTAGTTGAAATTGTCCAAGGTTTTGCATTTCATAAGATTGTAACGAATGATAACATAAAGGTGATGACGAGACTGAATTAGATCTAAGCAGAAAATTACAATAACTTTTCATTGTTTTTTTCACTTGCAACACAAGTAAAGCTAACTACAGATCGTAAGTTTTGTGTGCTAGACTTTARTTGAAATTCTCGAGATCGAGGCTTCTATATCCTATACCACGATTACCCCCTCTATACGTTTTGTGTCTTTCTTTTTCCAGAACAGGAGATAACCTCTACAAGTGGTAAGTTTCACAAACATTTCTTGGACTTGGATAAACATTTGAAGCTCATTCTTCTCAAACTCATTAAGGTGGCTGAACACAGTTTTTGATACCTGTGTTTCATTCACCTTTTTCTCTAAAGCCCAAAAAATGGCAGCAAGCAAGTTAACAACACAAACTTTGGTTTTTTGATGGTTAAGCTGATGTGTGTGCCGTTGTCATGGCAACACGAATAAAAATAAACAGGCATTTAAAATCGGTTTTGTTTATTTGTAGAAAATTTATTCATTAGATTTTCTTTATAATTTGCATACAACAAGCTTGTAACGATTCTCACAAGTTAACGCTATTTTGCTAATAGTTTAACAGAGATCTTTAATTATCCCTTGTTGAAGGTTTACCGGAATATCGAGAGTTTCCTCTGTTAAAGTTCAATTATTTTCAATACTCCAGTTACTTATTTCCTAAAGTATTTTCGTGCCAAATTTCGTGAAATTCTAATGAATAGTTCTCGAGAAATAGGCGTATTTCCGAGAGAGCTAATTTTCATTCAATCGCAATATTTTGACTTACTACGCATGCGCTGTTTTTAACTGGGTTCTTTCAGTAACAAAGAAAAAGCTGAGAATCGCTGAGTTCTTTGTATCTTTACCTTTTCCAGCATATATTTGTGATAAAAGACTAAAGCCATCAATACACTGCGTTCAATTATAGACAAAAATAGCAGAGATACTGCGGGTGTTGAGTAAATAAAATAACCGCTTTATTGACGGCTTGTTTGTTTTTCGCAATCCTTGTCCGCGCGCTGAATTGCATTAGCAAAAGCGCGCGCGAAAAGTGTATTCGGCCACCTTAAACTTTAAACGTAGATTAAGGTAACAAGTCCT